GTAGCTTCTATCAATGCACTTACAGCGTGGTGTAAAGTCGTCGTTCACAACAACAATATAGTGGCCCTCCTTGTCATCCCATGGAGGCACATTGGTTAGGGTCTAGGATATGATGTCAAAGCAAAGTATAGCAAAACGTAAGTTAGATAAATAACACCGTATAGTTATAAGGTCGTACTTCCACCATCGTCTTGAGGCAAGCATTTAATGTAGGGTGTTGTCAATTACATCTCGATTGGCTACGGAGGTATTCGCATGGCTCGAAGGTGCTGGTGGGTAGTATGGCGCCTGGTTCTCCTGTGGTGCACGCGATTGCACGTATTTGATATCCGGACGCCTCCGCTTCTTGGTGGGAGCATCGACCACGATGGGGTTATTATATGTAAGATGGCTGATGTTCATGATGATTGGATACATATGATTGCTGAGGATAGGTGTAATGTTGGTTTGTGTTATGAGAAAAACCGCCGCTTGATCCTGATGCCAAATCTGTCGAAGGCAGTCGTTTGTTTGTTCTCCTTGTGATTTGCCCTCCTGTTCCTACCATTGGTATTGAGGATGCATTGAGATACGAATGGGCTCCAGAGTGTGATGGCAGTGTCTGCACGACACGATACCGTGGTGAGGTTCCAAGATTGCCAGTAGAAACATGTTGAACAGAGGAAGTTGAGGAAGTAGACGAGGATGAGAGTGAGGGTGGTGGCGTATCGTCATCGATCACGATCACCTCCTTGGGCTGCCCGTTCTTGTAGAACTCTGCCCAGTCAGCTGTCCTTCTTGCTACCACTGTACTTGAGTTGGTCATAGGTATCGAATCTGGTTCAAATGACTTGATTTCGATGGAGGAGAGGATTTGCGCAGGTTTGGTAGCAAGATAGAAAAGAAAAGATGAAAATAAAACAAGGAAGAGGTAAAAAAAATAGAGTCTCTATGCAAACTGCTGGAGGCTTGAGAATTGGATATATGGTTATAGTATTGCCGCTGTTAAGAGAAGTGAAAGCATTCTTTTCAGGGGTATCAGTCAAAATCTCCTCTTTGCTTCTTGTCGCGATGCGAAAGAAAGAGATGGAGCTGAAATGACCAAGAAGGTTAGGAAGAGGGTAGGGGTATGGTTTGGTCAGCGGAGCGTGCGGCGACGGGAAGTGTTGGTTGGCAGCACACTTATTTCTCTTTGCTTTTGTGTGTCAGTGCTATTCTCAGATTTTCAGCGCTTGAACTGGTCTACACAGCTTTAGTATGATCACTATCTTACAATGCAAGAAAAAAAAAAAAAATTTAGGCTATGGAAAACAGCTAGATACGACAATGTCTAAAAGATTCATCCATCCATTTGTTCAATTATGAAGCCATGCATCCATCCTCATCTAAAGTATAAATGAGCTTGAGTCTGGATGATGCTGTTGGATAATCTGATGCCATTCAAAGTGGTGGATACACACCTTGTATAAAACATACCTTGTTCAGGTCAGAATCAATTTAAAAAAAGCCTAATGGGTCCCAGATGGATGAACACTTTCTGGGTAAATGAACAACGAAGAATATGTAAAGTCAAGGATAAAGGATAGGGATAGAAGAAATAGAGAGGAAAGGTGAAAAATTGAGTAATTGAAGCATGTGGGTCCTACGACTTTTTTCCTGCTCTTTCCTGCTTTGCACACTATCATTTCAACCTTGGACAAAGTCGTGGGCAGCCTTCTTGGATTTTTTCATGTCTCAAGCCAAGTACAAAGATAATTCTATTTATGCATGATGCCTTGCAATTGTGCAATAGTGGGATGGCTACACTTATACAAATGCAAAGCCAACCTTGTTTCATACAGGCTTCCCCTTTATACAATAGTGATCACTTTCACGACTGCTTCTTCGTTTATCGTAAACAACCCGATTTTCCGTCTCTTGAGGAACTTACTATCCATCGAGATTTCAGTTACAGGATCCCATTCAATCTTTTTTTTTTTTTCTTTTCTTTTTTTTTTCTGTTTCCTCCGAAGGAACAGACATTTATATCACGCCGAGAAGAAAAAAAAAAAAAAAGATAAAAAAGAATGATTTCAAGTACCTCAACATTGAAGAGATCTGCCATCTCAGGTGTCATGACGCTTATCAAAGCTAATGCCGCTACCACGGTTCGCTCCTCTATCTACACCACTGCACGCCGCTACCAGTCTTCGTCTTCCTCGTCCCCTTCCTCGAGTGATCTTTCTAAGCTTGATTTTTTGAGTATTGTTAAGCCCGAGCGTCAAGTGAACGCGGCGTCAATGGATAGAGTTGATCTAGCACATGGATCCTTCTTTGCGCTTCATCGTCCCCTGCTTGGTCTTACCCATGTCCCTGTTGATACTAGGATCAACTCTTTTAGTGATTTTGAAGGTTAGCTGCCTGGTTAATTTAAAGCTGATATACTTATATATTTCGGGCGTTTTTATGGACCGCATCAATCTAACGTACATATTAACACAAAAAAAAACTGCTAATAGAATCTGTCGAGGATTTGAACAATTACTTCTCTTCACTTCGCCCATACTCACCGCCCAACAGTAGCAGCAATCTCAGATCCACTGATTCAAAGCAAACTGTGCAGGAGTTCTTCCATCTCATCGAGCGTCAGCAACAGAGTCGTTTATTGAATGTCGTGTCCATTGTGGATGGCCAAATGACTCGGGTTTCAGACTCCACCTACTATCGGTACCATCATGGATGAAATGGATGATACGAATGTGATGCATATGACAAGTGTGCTACGCAAGAGGAGGATCAAGATGAGGAAGCACAAATATAAGAAGCTTCGTAAGAGGACCAGAGCTTTGCGCAAGAAGCTGGCAAGTAAAAAATAAAATAAAATAAAAAAAAAGCCTGTAGGCTGGTTGCATCATTCAGAGCAGTGATGAGCTGTAAATATAACAGCAAAGTTCCAATGTGTTGCCAGAAGGAGTAGGTTGAGCAAAAATAATAAAGCTAATATACAAGTCGGCATAATAATAATCAATCGTGAAGAAGATTTGCGTCCTCCAGATCTGATGCATCCTGCATGCAGAAACATCAACAGAAACAGATAGACGCCCAACCGCCAGAGAGTCATAATTCAAACAACGCGCTTTTAGTAGTGCATTTCTGTTTGTTGGGCAAAGCCAAAACACTCTTCACAATGATTTGTGAAACATTTGGGCCATCTTTATTTCTTTCCTGTGACAATTCTTTTTCGTTCCTCTTCTCTTTCTTTTACTTTTCTATTAATACTCTTCCCACGCGTACAAACCCATCCACATTTTCTCCTTCTCTCTCTCACTCTCTCACACTCTCATACTCTTTCACTCTTCCTCTCTCAACATTTCTTTGAACAATGCGTATCCACAGGCCTGGTGGGACCGTGCGGGGTGATAGACAACGCCATCAGCAACAGAAACAAAAACGATCTCATTCATATTCTCATCATCTACATCATGCTCGTCCTACTTTCAAACGATCCTTGCTACGTACTCATCACACGCGTCTCAAGGAACGCATCGCTCGCTTTCATGGTCTTCATGCCAATACAAATGCTAATGCTACTGTTGCCACTTTTTGTATTGCTGACCACAACCACATAACACACAGGGTGTGTACTTGAAAAGTTTGGCTTGATCTTCCTTGACTGTTAAGAAATATGGGGATCCGTCACTAATGGTGCTTTTTTTTTTTTTTTTTTTTTTCGTTTCAATATGTAATATCAGCTTTCCACATCATCAACCTATTCATCACCACCTTCCTTAACTACCACTTCTACTCAGCTTTCCAAGCTTACCGGATTCATCATTACCTCCATGACAGCCAACTGAAGAGGCATTCTCAAAAGCTTAGTTCAAAAATTGGTGGTCCAAAACCAAGAACTGTTATTGACGCCGCAGGCGCAGCTACGGATGTTCCTACGATAAAGTCAAGTTCTACACTCTCTCCTTCCTCAGACACAATAACAGCAGTCTCCATAGACTCCAATTGCTCCAATAGTACTCATCCATGGACACCATCCTCTTCTTCTTATCCAAGCACGTCTTTTTCGTCTCCTATGCTGACTCCGACCTCTCCTCTCACATCACCCTCTACACCTTCTTTATTTTCCTTGCCAAGTGACCCAGCTTCAGAATCAATCGATCCAAAGCATCAAGCACTTGTCATGTTGAAACATGAAGCATTTCAGGAACTGGCGTCGCAGACTCAGCGATATGACGAGTTGTTTATCGCAAAAATGATTGTTTGGGAGAGCCTAGGTCCAGAAGAAAAAGCACAATGGCTTGAACGAGCAAATCAAGATTATGGTACGGACATGGAGATGGATGACGGTGACAAGCACAGCAATTCTGAATATCAGCAACCTTCAAGTAACAGTAATGATAGAATTAATAATAAAAAAAAGGCCGAGGATGAGAGGATGATCGACGAACTCGTTAATGCACTGGACTGCAGAGCCTCTTGCAAAGATTACTCAGCTCTATTAGCGTTTGAAAGAGAGGTAGAGATGGAGAGACAGCAACAAGAGCAAGGAATGACTGAACATGAGCGGCTAAGATCAAGACATCAACGATATTAAACTATATCAGAAGAACAAAACCAGCCGTTGCCGCCTTAGGCTATCATTGTCGTTGAGTGCGTTCAGAGGAGCATTTATCATCGTTCTCTCTCTCTCAAAAAAAAATCTTTGAAAATGTAGATACACCCTTCAAATAAGATAACCAATAATTACAGCTTTTTTTTTTTTTTTTTTTTTCTTATTTTACTTCATTGACGTATTTCATAAACATTCTTTACAAAAATGTAAATATATTTCTGGAGCTGGCTTCTCAAAAAATAAAATAAAAGTCAAAGGGAAAAGCAAAAGCAAAAGCAATAGCAAAACTAAAACAAAAACAAAGATATAGTACAGGTTGAATATGAAAGATAAATACGAATGTTGAAAAAAAAAAAAAAAAAAAAAAAAAAAAAAAAGCAAAATGAAATTATACTAAGAAGAGCATTGACAACAAAAACTCTGGCAAAAAAACAAAAAATAAAAATAAAAAGAATCCATGTACAAAAAAAAAAGACAAAGTGAAAATATTCAGATTAAAAAGCGGCCTATGTATGACCTTGCTTCATCGAGTCGTCTGCCTCGCCCCGTTCTGCAGAAGCACTTCCCGTGCCATTGTCATTAGTATCACTATCAGCATCGCGATCCGGTGGAGGCAGCGACGAAGCGTTCGAACCCATGTGCTCAGAACTTGGTGGAGTAATAGTTGCAGGAGCAGGCGAAGATGGAGGATAATTTTTATCAGAGAATGAATTCACTCCGACTTCCAGTTTCTGCTGCCTTGATGAATCGACCGACTGATTGCCATTGCGCTTTCGGAGGGGAAATGCTAATGCTTGCAGTTGTGCCATCCGTGCGTTATTGGGCAATAGGCCCTTCTTCATCGGCGAAAGTCCTGAACCTATCTGTTTTTGCTGCTGCGCTTGCTCATTCTGACGCTTCACCAACTTAGCATAATCTAGCATGATTGATGATATATTGCGTCAATCAAAGAAGCAAAATAATAATAACAATAATAACACTATCGGTGATAAGACATAGAGCAACAAAAAGTGTTTGCACTTACGAAGCCCACACGCATTGCACAATGTGCGGGCACCGTCAGGCCCACGGCGCCATTCGGGTGTATCTGATGAATCACATGACAAGCATCGGCCAGGTGGCTGTGTCCGCTTGGCTCGCTTGCGATACTTTTGATATGGGACATCGCTGTTTTTAGAGTTGCGACTATTGGAAGCGTTGCTACCACCACGCCCATTTTGACTATTCACACTACTCGCTCGACTACTTTCTCTTCCTACTCCGAGCCCTTCTTGATGAGATCTAGCCACGCTCGGGTCAGACAGATAGGGAGCCGATGAGGGTCTGTGAGGAGACTGATGATGCGACATCGAGACAGATATCATTGTGTCGCTATTATTTCCAAAGCCATCAACGTCCGTATCCATGCCACCGCGCCGACCACGATAATCTGAAGTACGGCCAGGTAATCGACTATTCTTCGCATAGTGTTGTGATGCTTCTGACCTTGACTATAAGATGTGTGTCGGTGCTGCTCCAGATCCGCTGTCGTTCATAAAAGACTTGGAGTTTGATGCAGCAGCAGGGACAACGGTCCAATCTTTTTGGATATTGCCATGCTGGTCCATTGTGGCGGATGCCAATGCACTATCCATAAGTAGACAGCGCTTACCGCGGATTGTATTGATTTCTTCATCTAGTTCCCGCTCTTCTGGAGTCATCCCCATCCAAGACCTGATACGGATAGCTAGCTGGAATATGGATGTGGCTGCCTTCGCAAGCTCATGAACCATCTCATGTGGTGGTCTACCGGGTCCGAATCGTAGAGGACTCATTTCTCGCTCTATTCGTTCGTATTGTTGATTGTTAGCATTGCCTGATGCTTCTGCACCAGACTTTTCATTGGACCCACCTCCGATATGCTGAAGGCCAATAAGCATAGTGGTATTCATACTGCGGATTTTTTGTAAGTTCGCTCGCATATCAGGATCCATTTGGCCATAGTCATAACCACCGCTATGAACTGCATTTGCTTGCTCTGCGTAATGGAGAGCAAACCTGCAAAGTGCGTCACAACTTTCAATCGCTGATTTTAAATCAACTGTACTCGGCATTTCTGTTCCAAACTTGAATCGATGGCGCTGTTGCTGCATATTCTCCTCCTCTCTCAACGCTTCCTCTTCTTCTGCATTGCTATCATAGCTAGAATCATGAAGTGCACTGCTACGGTCAACTGTGCATCCATTGTATCCTTTCCACGACCTGTCAATGTTCGTGGGAGGAGGAAGTAAGTTAGGTGTAACGTCTGATCTTGCTCCTAAAGACTGGCTTATCGAAGGCTCTGGCTGTTCACGGCCTGTATTGTGCTGTTGCTGAGAATATTGCTGCTGAGCTTGATGCTGAGATAGTTGTGCAGGACTACAAGGTCGATGTGAAGCGTGAAATGAAATGGGGTGGTTCACTTGTGGATATTTACCCTGAGAGTAAGGGGATGAGTAGTACTGGCTGCTTTCAATGTTTGCAGATGTGCGAGATGTATGGGTATTCTCATTAAACTCATATCGATTGCGCTCGTATTGGTCTAAAGGGTGATGATGTCTCAAAGGATCTTGATTATGAGAAGGTAAGAAACCTCGAAGTCCTGACTGATAAGAGTGTGCATGGTTGCGAGAAGATGGATCCTGGGTATGATCTAGAACATCTTCTACGCTTCTGCTAGGTAAGTCATAGTAGAATGCACCCTTATTGCTACGGTTTTGACCTAATTCAGGTCTATATGGATATTGGGCCGAATAAGATGTAGTATGTTGTGTGTTTGTATTGTTTTTGTGACCAAACTCTCTGTCATCGTGCCATGGAGGGTGCACAAACATAGATTTCGTAAGAGACGATAGCCGATCGGCGATGGCAGAATCTTTGATTTCCCGCTGCAGTCCATGATCTTTTCCTGCAGCAGGGTGAGATTGCACCTGCAGCTGCGGATAGGAGGGCTGATAAAGGTCGCTGTCGCTTTGATTGCTCTGTACTCCGATCGAGCCATTAAATGATGGAGAAGATGATCTGCCATTTTCCCGAGGAGAGTGATGCTGATGCTGTGAATGGTGGTGTTGCCGAAAACCCAAAGGAAGCGAGCCTACTGTGGCCTCAGGATGATGATTCTCAACTTCTGAACTTGTATGCTCGAACTCCATCTCTTTTTCCTTCTCTCTCCCCTTATATCTTTCTTTATCTCTACCACGCTCCACACTTGCATCATAACTAGATGGTGTATACATGTAGGAGGATGAATGGCGCAAAGGATAGGAGGATGAAAGAGATGTAGGAGGAGGAGATGATAGTGGAAATGGAGGAGACAAGTGACGGATGCGAGACTGATGAGAGGGAGTAAGAGGATAACTCCTATGTCGGGTGTCTTCCTGGGCAAAGCTTTTCGGGACAACCTGCCTTTGCCATTGTAGACTCTTGGGGATGATTATGAGATTGAGCACTGGCGTCATTGGTCAGTGCTGCAGGCGGGGGGTGACCGAAAGGTGACCCACTAGAAGTAGCGGATGAATTCTCAAAAGAACTCATGTCTATATCCAGGCGATATATTGAATGATGTTGTTTTGTTGCTGTTGCTGCTGTCCTGGCTGTTCTGGCCACCCTGATTGTTCACAGAGGGGTGCACAGAGCCTGTCGTCTGAGAAAGGGCGTACAGTAGAATGAGATTGGGAATCAAATTCAGTGGAGTATGAGTGCTGCTTTTGTAGTTGTTGAAGAGAAGAATGAGAAGAGGAATAATGATTCAGATTCACATCTGTTGACTGGACTGGATGAGAGCTTTCTAGGGATGGAGAAGCGAATGAACGACTATTCATGGCAATATAGAAACAGGGTGATGTTACCTCATGAAGATACCACCCCAAAATAAAGTAAAAAAAAAAAAACGAGTTGCTTAGGAGAAGTAAAAAACCTAGGTTTTCGTGAATGTTTTAAAAAAAAAAAATAAAAAAAAAAATGAAGGAAAAAGTGGATGAAGAAATGCAGGAAACAAGAAACAGGAATCAGGAAACACAAAATAGCCAAATATCAAATCTCATTTATCGTGCATGGCATGTAAGGAAGCCAAAAAGAATGGACAACAAAGCGGTCTGCAATATCACAATCATTTTCTGCCTCCATTCCCGTACACTTTAACTCCAGTCAAATGACTCGAAGACGAAATAAATAAAAAAAAGCACACAGAAATAAAAGTGAAAAAGGGGAGAAGGGGAGAAGGAAGTTCAAAGTAGGTCGTCTTATTGTACTACGCTATATGCTATAACAGTTCGATGCAAGGCGGGAGAAGTGGAGGGGTGGAGGAAGACCACGATCGGGTCGTGCTGTTCAATTGAGTAGATTTACATAGTTTGTATGGTTTTACGTTTGCATTGGACTGCATGGATTGCATTTTTTTTTTATGTCACTCGTGATGATACGACTATCCGATATGCATGCCTAGGCGCGCCATCTTGCCTGCATGAAAAAGGAGAAAGAAAGGAAAAAAAAAAAAAGATGCGATAGGAATTGAAGAGAGGGAGAGGAGAGCATTGTTTTTTTTTCCTTTTTTTAAAGACGCATCGGATCTTTCTATCTTTCTCTCCGTGTGTTTTCTTAGCTTTCCTCATCTCCCATGGCATTAGCGTCCCTTCCTAAAATACCATTTGAAGATCCATTACAGAAAGAATCCGATCGTCACAAACAAACAGGGATCTTGCTCATGTCCCCGATCCATCCACGTCAGGGGGTGTGTGCATATCTTAGTTCTTATTTATTCACAACAAGAAAGAAACAAAAAGGGTACATTTGTACATAGGCAAATTTTCAGAGCTTCTTCGGTAAAAAGAGCAGACCAACAGTCATTGTTGTCGTCGATGTTGATGCATCCCGAGGAACTTCATAAGAATAAGGCTGCAAATGGAATACGGTCACTGTCTAGTTCATCGATCACTTTCTCCACCTGTTTAGGCTTCTTACTGGGTACAGGATTATGCCCATGTCGTCCTTTAAAATATACGGATTGATAGAGCGAAGAAGCCTTACCGGAGCGATGGCAATTATGGTGCTTGTATTCTTAGCCTTATACTTGTAAATTCATCCAGCGCCACATATTCTTCCATATTTATGAGAACAAAAAACGAACAGATGGGTTTGATACCTCCTGTATTCTAAACTACCCTCCTTTGAAAATAAGATTTCTATTTCAAGCGGCTTTCTCAATGATATTTTAGTTTGTCCTTGCTGTGAATGGACCGGAAAAAAATGAGGATGACAGACCAAAAGCTAGTATATAATACCCTGGGGTGCCTATATCATGATAACGAATAGTAGATAATACATTCAAATTTCTATCCGATCTTGAGCTGTCATCATTTACAATACAAGGTGGTTTGTTCCAGCCATTGGTCTACGAACTTTACAAAAGACACTGAAACAAAGATTTGATGCTTTAGCCAATTTCCTCCGCTACGTAATGCGCACCAAATACTCGGGTAAGAAAGCAGAAAGGGCTGGGGAAATACTCTTGGAGCCAGTTACCCAATTTGTAAGATCGGAGTTTGGAACAGAAGCGGCAAGGGTTGTATTCGAAGAATGTTCATCTGAAAGGACGTTTGAATGCATGGACACAAATTTAGTTAAAATAATAAAATATATTGGCCCTATTCAATCCTCACGCTCTCAAAATGAGTTTAACCTTCATAAAATTTTCACCCCAATTTATTTATTTTTCAAAGGAATGCTCCGTAAACACTGAACACAACACCAACTGCTTGGCAGCATAACGCCGCTCGAATTCGGTGGATGAAAAGGCGAACTTGCCCAAATTTGGGTTACAGGCAAAGACAATGGCTATTCAAAGAAAGTGGTAAGCGGCTCAAATTATCAAGGTAGATGATTAAGACCCATATCTGATAGAGATGACGGGAGAATCTCAAAAAATGTGATCTGGGAGAGCACGAACGTTTCAGAGACATGATGAGTATAAATTTGTTCGGTCCAAAAGCTTTTCAGTTTGACTGATTAGTAACATGGAAAGTTGAGGTATATGCGAAAAATGAGGTCAATATGGGATTCACAGTAATTTTAGGTTCCTCTTTATTTTCCCGCAGTCAATGGGATAGGAATGAAATGTCACCCTGTCGCTGTTAACATGCCCTAAACAACCTCCTTGGGTCACAACAAAGGCAATAACCATCTGTCAAAGAAAAAAATAGTTAAAAAAAGAAGGGGAATCGGAGGGTATCAATTACGGATATATTCATTTATGACCCAAGGACGAACATGCCTAACTTATTCGAGAGTTCTTTATTTTGGTTCTTCACAAGAGGATGCTTTTTTTTTTTTTTTTTTTTTTTTAGAAAAAGGAAAAAGGGAATAAACAGAATTCCGATACGGGCGATCTAAATATTATTATTGTGGTGAGTAAATGAGCATTGCTTTGACCTCCATTTTCTTCTAATTTTCGCCCTACTCGCTCAATGATCAAGCCTTTGTATATGACATTATAGAACTTTTTTTTTTTTTTTTTTTTTTTTTTTTTTTTCGTCGAAAGAACTGATCCTTAACTCTCATGAACAATCATATCTAGATATTGCTGCATCACAATGATATTCATGTCCATAACACGGCTTTGTACCTATAATGAAGTGATCGTCGTGGAAGCTCTTCTGGATTACATCCTTTTTAATATTAATTCAATGCTTCACTGGCGATAAAATAGATGAAATAGTAAGAAACGCTTCATAAAGCAGAGCACCTGTATGTAAATTGCATACACCATAGAAGTGCGTTAATCGTTGAGCGTCTGGATTATAGGGGTATCATTCTAACGCGATGCTCTGGTGAACAGACCACTATTTCTATTTTGTATTCATATTATGATCTTTTCTCACATAATTCTCAAAGGAGGGAAAGCGGGGAGAAATAGCACTGTATAAGAATCGGTAGAATGGCAGTATAGAATCAACCTAGAGACCCAGTGATGCTGTGCTTGCGGGCCATAGTAACTTTACGAGAAATGCATGAAGTTCGTTCAACACTTCACTTTTACCCTGTCGTGTGTGCTTGCCTTGTCCAAAAGCAAACGAACGATTTCTATAGAACGTGGGATCGTGCATAAATTCCAACATACAGGAAGTACAATGATCGGGTCTATCAAATTTCTTCACAGCTCAAACAAGATACTTGAGCCCTTCTAGCTCGCAGAATACATGGTAAGCACTCTTTCTTCGTTAGACATCAATACCATCAATCACCTCATTAATGAATCCTTCAATTAAATAGTTAATCCAAGAATCACATCAACAACGAAACAACTAGTAGACGATTAAGCATTTTACCAGTGGCATTGTAAACCATAAATCAGTCATCCAAGCGATCCTGGTCTTCAACCATATAGTCTCGAGAGCCACTAAAGCACTTATCTTCACAGCCATCCCCTTCATACGACTGTACTCGGTTAAAACTACGATGTGTCAGCAACTACGAACCTTGACTCGGGGCGCCTTCGGTCAGTAACTCCTCGAGGTAATACTTTAATCTATTTTAGGCAACCATGTGACGTCCTTTCTGCAAATAAAAAAATACCATGTGTAAAATCGGCTTTTTTATTCTTTTTTCTCTTCTACTCTGTTCACTCCTTTTATCTTCTCTCCCTACCACCCATCTTTTCACTATCCACTCTTTCGCGCGCAACAATCTGCCGATAAATAAATCAACCAATAACGTAGAGGGAAAGCGGCGCGCTTCTCTGAAGAAGAGTTAGAAACAACGTGGGGCCACTAGGGCTCTTAAGGGCACGTTCACCTCGACAGGCACAAGCACGAGCACAAGTGAAGGCATAGACGTAGACATCGCCGACACAATCGACACCTTCATTGCTACCGCATCGGCCGCTGTTGATTGCATAGACAATATCAGCTCTGTTGGCGACGCTATCAATCTGCATACTAGTATGTCACACTCACCTACCACATCGACGAATGTTATGGGCACAACAACCACAGCCACACCCACAATTGCGCCTATTCTAGACTCACATCCAATGATTGGCTCTAAGGGTAACATATTTACTGAAAGTGATGTTGATCCAAATAAGCCTATCACCTCTTCATATACTCAGCAGCAGGATCAGGAACAACCCACAGGATATAAGACAGAATCTGCTATTTTTGAGAATGCTGCTTTAAATTCTCAAGAACGGGATAGTACTGCTGTCTCGAAGAGCACTGAGGTTGGGGCTCTAGATTCTGGAGTTGCTTCGAACTTGCAGGCAGATCAAGCATACCAATTAGACCAAGGTCAGCTGCTGAATACAAGTGAAGCTGAAGTTACTATGGACGCCCAAAGATCTGATGGTACTGCCTTAAGTTTATCTTCATGGGATGTCGCCAATGAGCATGTCGCGACGGTGGTCTTGCAGTGCTTAAACAGGGATAGAGATATGGAGCTATCATATGTTGCAATTTTATCTGCCATCACTGTTTTACAGAGCAAACAAGATCAGTCTCCAGAATTAGAGCATAATGATCCATTATCACCCCTCTATCGTCAACTTCAGGAATCAAGCAATGCTGTTGCAAAGATGTATTCGCAAATCATGAAGATCATATGCCGCTCTAACATCGCAGAGGAGCTTGGCAAAGAGATTCTTCGACAAGGAGTCATGTCACCGGAGGCAATGTTTACCCGTTTTACGGCTCTATACAGCAGGGAGGATATGATCTGGAGGTAAATTTCTGTCACTTTCAAATGAGTAAGCCACGATTGTCAGAAACCAAGCTCAAACTGATGATAACGATGTGGATTTATTTATTTATTATTATTGGTATTTTTTATTTTTATTTTTTTTTAGGATGGTGCTCACATTGCCATGGCCCAATATTGGATCGAACGTAAGAAGTTTGACGAGGCTCAGGATTGTCTTGGTCGAATCGAGCCAGTGCGATGGACTGGACCTGTGTACCGTAATATGATTACATGCCTTCTCTTTTCCAGACCACGACAGCTTCAAGAAGCTGAATCTCTGCTACAAAAATATATCAGCTTCCTGAGGGAAAGTAGGCAACAGAATGTAGACGAAGAATCCAAGGCTAGATCATGGTTCAAACTACAAGTGGATGCATCCAAGTGGGAAGAGATAAAGATGCAATACGAGCGGAGGCGCTCTCGCCTTGTCGAAGGGTCATCCAACGCCGAGCACAAAGAAATTTCTACAGGCCCCGAAGCCAAGCTGACGCCCCAGGCACTTCGGCAGCATGAGCTTCAGGCGTCTCCACAACGACAAGAACCTATACAAGCACGCAGCAAATCTGTGGCATCATCACTAGCTTCTTCTCTTCGTCGCTCACCTTCCTTGCATTATTCTGGAGCCAGTCAGGTCAGCAAAGATCATCATTCAGTCATCATCGTACCCCTTCAATAGCATCAGCGTGGCCATCTGGAGCCACGACCACATCCTCAATAGCATCAGCATGGCCATCTGGAGCCACGACCACGTCCTCAATAGCATCAGCGTGGCCATCTGGAGCCACGACCACATCTGCGAACCTCGCACTGAACACAACTACGCAGTCATCAGCACCAGCCAAGGGGACATTTTCGTTCTTTTCAACTCTCAAATTTACAAAGGCTACCGATGAAAACTCGAGTACATCGTCGGTGGTACTTCCTAGTCGACTAAATGTGAATCATCATCTTACTGTTCTCGATAATGGCATGTTGGAAGAGTGCATCACCTATAGAGAATTCGAGTATGGTTGGAAGCACATTTATGAGAAAATGGGGCCTACTTTGGAGAATGCAGATACTGCCAAGATTGCGATGCGCCTATGTAGACATGCTTTTCTAGGACACAATGGCCTTGACACTCATCACCCTGGATTGCCTAATATAGTCGCTAGTGACATCCATTTTGATGATGATGACTTTGACACCAGCGGGTTGCAGAATAAGGAGCCAATGAAACATGATCCAGAGTTGTGGGAAGTACGTGGATGGGTCGTATACAACAAAGCGATGACGAACCCACATACTTTTCTATCGAGCAAGTCTGGCCCTTCATATTCACATTCCTCTAATCCTTCCACAAATCCTGCAGTGGTTCAGGGCGCCTTGGGAGCCCAATCTATATCCATAAATAATGGAGTGTCAGCTGTGTCATTGTTCCTACACGATATTTTGACTATTGCGGTCCGATCTCCAGAGATCTCTTCGCGCTACCTGAAGGCCTTCAAAGTGTATAGCGCTATCCGAAGCGATACCCAGAATCAAGGCTACCTGCGTGACCCATTTGTGATGTCCTGTATGATCAAGGCTATATATGATGCTACACTATCTGTGATCAATAATCCGAGCAAGAACTCTCTCCATCGCTCCCAGTGAAGACAGAGGTCATGAAGCATCGCCGGAGATCGTCTTCACTTTCATTGAACGAAGCGCACCCGATGACTCTGGAGTCATTGGTGGATCTCGCGTTTGAAATTTATGCAGATATGCGGAATGTGGGACCTATTCGCCATTTGCCTCACTTAACGAATCTATCGCCTAGTTCGCCCATGGGCAAATCTCGCAAGAGTGTTAGCATCGGTTCTCCTCAGATAGCGGCAGCAACGTCTACTTCAAGCTCTACTTCCAGTACGATTGAACCCTCGGATATTGGGATGACATCGACTATCTCCATCTCACCTAGAATGTCATTTGCCGCAACGAGCACTTGTATATTCCAAGAGCTAAATCCGACCTTGAAACCCAATCCTCAGGCCCGTCGATTACCAACGGAGCTGTATCTAGCATTATTGCATCTTTGTATTCACGTATCGACTTATAGAATCTCGTCACAGGTAGTTAAGACGATTGTGGATGATATGACTTCTAGCTTCGGTCGACAGCTGTACCAGTTGGATTATCATTTGGCTGCAGCTATGCAATGTTTCCATGATAGTTGGATGGTGTGTCCTCACAGAGACTCTTGCTTTGAGGACGCGGAGGAGAACTTGGTTCGAGCTGCATGTGAAGGAGGGAGAGGTCAAACCCCGAAAAAGTGCATTTATTATGAATGGATGTACCAATCAGATGAATATGTGGAAGAGTCTATTAATACCATGAAGCAATCATCTGCATTATCTGCAGTTTCGGACGCGTCTTCAGTACTGAGTGGTGTTAGCAGCAATACTGAAGTAATGGGGGATGTAGGCAAATTGTCATTAGAGGACCCTTATTCGTCGCTGAATAGTGATTGTTCCGGAGCAGGGACCTGCAATGATCAATTCTATTGGGACATGTGGTCAGCCGAGGACAAGGCATTGAAGAACATTCGATTCACAACGGTCAAGGCTAAGATGCTATGGAAGCATGTAGCACAGACTCTCTTGTAATAAAGCATATACCATTCTATTGTCTTTTCTCGACTTTTTTCTATTCCTTTGATAATATATAAACATATATCATGATGGACGCCTACATGAATATAAATCGGACAACGAGGAGGAGGCAGGGGAAACAGAGAAAATAAAACGACCCGTTCAGACCGATTGGGTTTGCACCGGCCTTTTATCCGTGTGGTTGGCAAAAAATGATCGAGCGAACAAATGCTCACACAGTCACTAGGCAACGAAAATTTACCCCACATTTCGAAAGCACAGAGTTGTCTTTAATGCATTCCACTTCTACATTCTCTTCTCTCCATTCATCGTCTTTTCCTTCTGATCCCCCTTTTTTTTTCTGAAAAAAAAAAAAAAAAAAAAAAAAAGAAAAAAAGCAAGTTCATAAATAACATTATTAATTATCATGCATGTCCAGAACAAGGTCGCCATTATCACTGGTGCATCCTCAGGTAACTATTTTATTCATGACCCGCGTACTACACACAGGTTGATCTTGCTTCGCACAAATTATTTAGGGATTCCCTTAATGATCTCCTTATGTCTCTTTCACAAATCTATGGTATCCAGGTCTCGGTAAAGCCCTTGCGGAGCGCCTTGTTAGCAAAGGGTAATTTTTTTTTTTTTTTTTTTTTTAAAAAGGTGACTTTTCGGGCTGACTTTTTTTTATCATTATCATTATTATTATTTTTTTCTTTCCTGAAACGCTCAAGTGCCATGGTTATCTCGGAGACATTGACAAGAATGAAGGTCTGCGCCTTGCTGGACGAATTGAACCATGGTAAGTGGTAATAAAAAAAATTTTAAGAACAATAAAAACACTTGAGAATTCATTTTTAATAAAAACATGATTTCATGATTTTCACCCTAAAAAAGCAAGGAGAAACCTGTAGCACATTTTATTCAATGTGATGTGACCAACTATGCTCAACAGGCAGAGCTTTTTCAAGCAGCATTCCATCATTTTTGGAAGTGTCGACATTGTTGTAAATAACGCAGGTATCGCAGAGGGAGAACCTTTGTGGGCAGATAAGAAACAGATCTGGAAAAAAGTCGTTGACATTGCTCTCAGCCGTGATCGAGGGAACTCGTCTGGGTATTGAGGCCCTTCAAAAACAACTCCAAAAGGAAGGCTCTAAATTTGAAGGAGGGGTTATCATCAATACGGCTTCTTTGGCTGGATTGTATCCTCAGCCCCGAACCCCTGTGTATGCGGCTGCTAAATTCGGAGTCATCGGCTTCACTCGGTCGTTCAAACAATTTAAGGAAAAGCGGATTCGTGTCATGCTGTCGCCCCAGGTATGATAGAGGAAACCATATATATAAAACAATTGTCTGCTCATAGTCTCCATATCTCACATACTTTTTTTTGTCTTTCTGTGGGACCATATTAGCTTCGCACCAACAAAGATCATTGAACCTATCAAGGAGGATGTGATGAAGATGGGTCCTTTGGTCTCAGTTGAAATGGTGACGGATGCGTTCATGTTGTTGATTGAGGACGACTCATGCAGAGGCGACATTGCAAGGATTACGCCCAGTATGGTATCAATATTCTTGGCAAGACTGTTGGTGGTGATAAGAAGGCCAAGCTGTAGAAAAAACATTAAATGATATTGAAGAATAAAGCAATTTAGTCAAAATGGCAACTTCACCAAGGCTTTTATCATACTTATCATACATGCATTATAACTATTCAAATGTAGTGCTACTCTGCCAATGGTCTAATTTATACTGTTATTTACAAATAACTTTTTATTACATATTATCACTATTGTTTAGATTTCACCATAGATAGTCCTGCCCCGCTCTGCACGGACATTGCGGGTACGTTGGATGTGGAGCATGTCTTTCTCGCAATATGTTTGATTGTCGTAACTGTAGTAGTTATCCTTCAGCTTGTTGCCGCACTGTGAGCACTTGAAGCACTTTGGATGAAATCGCCAGCCTCTGTTCAAAGATCATAGGAGAGGATATCCAGATTAGCTTTTACATGGTCGTACTTAAATGGTGCTTTTTTTTTTTTTTTTTTTTTTTTTTTTTCCTCTAAAAAAGTCTTTACCTCCAAGGTCTGAGCACAAGCTCCTTCAATAGGCTCATCGCATCTCATGCACATCGAGTTATTCAGCCGATGGTAATGGCGCTTACAATAGGGTTGCTTATCAAAGACATAAAATTCTTATCTGGGAATGGTCTCTTGCACGTCTGACATCTGAAGCAATTAGCATGCCATTTGCCCTCAGCTTACCATCCTGTGCAGAGACTGCCTGACTTTCGATCCTCAGTCCACAAGCATTGCATTTAGGCAAGAACAGTTCACCATAGTCCTTGGGACAATAGACTCGCCCATTCTTTTCCACATGGGATACTCGGAGTGGCTTCAAACAGTGGTAGCAACACAAATGATGCTCATGCCAGGGTTTGTCCAGTGCGAAGACAGTCCGTTCGGTTTGCTGAATAGGCCCTTCACATCCTGCGCAGATTCGAAGGCGTTGAGGTCGTAAGACTTCCTGTTGCAATAACTTTGCAAAATCACGCTCACAGAAGATACGTCCTTCATATTCATGACAATCCAAAGATGATTCAATCGGCATGCGACATTGGGCGCATTTGAGGCACTCCCCATGATAGCTACTGAACGCCATTTTGATTGAATCCGCCATCTCGGAAGGTAGAATATCTTCATCACAGTCCGCACAACGCTCCAGTGTCGGACCATTGCGTCCATTGGTCGACCGGCTATGTGTACTAAGAGCTCTTGATGAATCCGACAGCCGATTCGAGGATGAGGAACGATTGCAGTCTCGAATAGTCACTTGTTCGTAACTTTGGTCAAAGTTATGATCATAATTGTCCTCCTCAACACCGCTATTACAACTTTTGTTACTGTTTCTGCCGCTATGGTTATTGTTGTCATGATTGCTAGCCCTGTTACTGTGGCTACTATTGTCATTAGTGCTATTCTTGTTGTTGCGGTTGTTATTTCCACTACTGCTTTCTCTTCCTCTGGAGTTGATATTGTCGTTGCTGCTATTCCTATTAATGCGATTATTACTGCCATTGTTGCTGCTGTTGTTACTATCGCTGGCGTTATTGCTTCTCCTAAACCTCTCATTGCTAGGACTGTCTTCAGAAACACCTTCATCACGTGAATGATAGTCATCAACTGAATCATCACGCTCAGTACCATTACTTCGCTCTGACGACTTAATTCTCCCGCTAATGAATCCTCTTCGCTCAGCGCGCTGCTTCTGTTGCTTTTGTTTCATCTCCTGATATTCTTTTTCATTCCCTTTCTCTAGTTCCTGTGTCTGATCTTCATCTCCCTCCTCTTGTACTTTGCTAAAATCATTTTCTTTTTGTTCCTTCTCTTTGTTGTTACTCCTTCGGAATAGGCGAAGATGCCAGCGGTCAGTTGACCGGCGCGCCATATTTGGCTGTTCAGGTGCTGGTGGAGAGGGATTTCGACCATCTTCTGATTGGCGGCTGTTCTTTGAGGTATCCAACAAAGGCAGAGGCGACGTTTGGATGCTATCATGGCTACGATAAGCAGGTCTAGAAGCAGCGGGGCTCTGTGGCTGACTATCACCGCTAGCAGTCTCATTCTCTGTCCGTCGATAAGACCTATACGAAGGCGGAGCTGGAGACGGAGACGGAGATGGAGACGAAGATGAAGATGGAGCTGAGGTTCTCAATCGGTTGTTCTTGACTTCATCATCATATTCAGCTAGGCGGCGACCCACTCTGCATTGGACGATCTCGTGAGACGAATTGCTATTATCCCTGTTATTTTCATCGTTGCCTGGAATATTTTCCATATCCGCGCGGCGAGTAGGTCGTTGTTTGAGTACAGGTGGAGATGTAGGGTTAGTTAGCGCACTATCCGATCGACGAGCAACAGCAGCAGTCGAGGCTTCAATGGAGGCGGATTTGTCATCACTGGTGAACCCACTGGCGAATGCAATGGGGAATTTGTTTCCGAACCAGTGGGCGTGATAACCAGGCCATCTTCCCGACGGGGGGTCTTGGTTCAGTGGTGGAGGCGTCACTGAACCGACCTTGGGACTTTTATCCGCTGCAGTATCAGTTGCTGCAGCACGGATAGGTCTGGGTTGGAGTGGTAGAGGTGTTGTGGAAGTAACAGAGCTCTTAGTCAGCTCAGCTTTAGTTTGAATGGAGGTGCCCGAATGAGAGCGAGTGGCTTTAATAGTAGAGCGAGAAGGGATAGGAGAGGTCGAGCGTTCCACAGCGTCTGTTTGGTGTATCGCCGTTTTGTGAGTAGGTTCAGGTTTGGTCAAGGTCTGAGTCTGACGAGAAGTGGAGCCTGTGGTAAGAGTATGGGCCGGACGAGGAGCTGGGCGGGGGGCTGGTCTAGGAGATGGTGATCGACGGCCGTCCTCAGCACTTCGAGGTACAGCCAATGTCTTTGGCTGTGAGGTAAGTGTAAGTGTTGGTGACGAATCCGCATCGAGCGACTGACGAACGGCTGTTTTCATTTGTTGTTGTTGTTGTTGCTGTTGCTGTAATAACTGTAGTTGTAGCTGTTGTAGTTGCTCAGGAGTAAGAAACACCGATGTTTGCGTAGACGCAGATCGGCGTTCAACCTTGGATGGCTGCACCTGATTTGGAGTCAACTTAGTAGCTGTAAGGTTCCTGTCATCTGCAACACATAGAACTCTGTCATCATTACTAGGCTGTGTCATAGGCAGGGCATCCGTGTTTTGGTCTTCATCTGCAACAGTGACTGGAGGCTGAGGAGTAATAACCCTGATATATTCTGTCTGAGAAGTTTCAGACACTTGTGGGCGTGGTGGGAGTACAGGTTTACGAGACACAGTCGGTCGGACTTTAATCTCCTGCATAAGGTCTTCCATCAAGGCATCGAATTGGTCTACGCTAGGCTTGTGCGATAGATGCTGAGAACCAGGAGGTAGCCGCCTTGGGACATCCAGTGAGCTACTGCTGCTGTTCACAGAAGACCTCCAAGTATCGAAGGGACGCCCAGCTTCTGATGAGATACGTGTTGAGCTCTCTAGTCGGTCACCATATAAATACAAATATGTATATAGAAAAATAGTTTAGTCATGCTGACGTTGTCGAATGAATAGAAATTGATTTCAAAAGAAATACGTCAGATTGCACCGGCGTATTACCTTTGATGGAATAGGGGAAGGCGATAGAGACCCAGGTGGTGTAACTGAGCAATACAGGTCATCCTCGTCCTTGAATGTGTTTTGCTCTGCATGCAACGAGTTTTTTTCTTGTGAAGACAATGGTGGCGATGGACTCCCTTGAACATAGATTCCATCCTGAACACTGATATGATCCTCTCGTGCTCCAGAGCTTGTCAAAGAACTGAATATCTGCGTCGAATCTCTCTCAGATCGATGCTTCGGAAGCGTATTGTCAGAATGTCTCAAATCCTCGGACGCGTTCTATCAATTCTTTGAGGCCTTTCTGTCTGCAGCGAAGATCGTTCGGATCGTTCGGATCGTTTCTGACAGGGACCGTTGATGAAGCCTTTCAGCCTGAAGACGTTCCTAACTGCTAGCATAGTAGGTCGCTTGATCGAGGGTGGTTCAATCGTACGTTCCTGATCATGATCTATTGTAGAATCCAATGTTTGTGTTGCGATACTGACTGCATGGGTACATTGTTGCTCCCGTTGCTCTTGCTGGTGCTTCCAGTGCTGTGAATGGGAGGAGCATTAACGCCTGCTACAGCTGGGACGATGCCGGATATACGCTGTGAAGACTTGCGAGGAAGAGCAGGAACAGGCTGCTGCTGAGATTGATCCGTGAGCTACGAGATGGGTAGTTGCACTCTATCGACTCCATGATTGGCTTCAACGACTCTGTGTGTGTAGAGCGTTCTCCTACAGCGTTGGCTGATTTGAGTGCCGTTCGTCAAGCGAAGTTCTGGATGGCGTAGAATAAAAATCAGTAGAGTGTCGTTTTGGTGTAGGTGATATGGGAGTATCCTGGTCATCATCGTACTACAAGAAAGCAAGCTGCACAATGGGCGATATTGTCTGACTATTGCGTTTATTGTAATGGAGTGGTTCTGAAGTAATATTAGTGGGTTGCGAAAGAAGCGCTGGAGCAGATGCAGACTTGCGTTTTGAGTATTTTTCTAGATATGGCAGAGCAGGTCGCGCTTGAACAGAGGATGGACGAATGGGTGAGAGTGGGGCTGTGTTAATGGTAGCTGTTTTTTTAGTTGTGCAAGAAATGGTTGGTATGCTTGTTTTTGACTCTGACTTGATTAATTTGATTGTGTTGCTTGCTATTGTTAAAGTCCTTCAGAGCACTTCCGCTCCTTGTCGTTGTTGTAGTTGTTGTCGTCTTCGTTGATGGTATGTAAGCTATTGAGAACACGATGATTACATGTTAGAATGGCAAAAAGAATAGAGCAGAGTATGGCGGCGAACAATCTATCACAGATCAAAACGCTAGTTGTAGCCTCATCCTAGGAATCTGATTGCACAGAAATTCACCGAGTAATATGAAGAACAAAAGAATGACCAATCTTAATGCAATTTTGGCCGCAAAGAAACAAAAGAAAAAATGGGCCGGCGACTGAAAGGAACAGAAGTTAAAAAAGGGACCAACAGTATTAGGAAAGCAAGCTTTCCTATGAATGGAACAGGAGAAAATGAATTTTGCAATCTTGGCATCACTCTTGATATATCTTCTTGTTTTCATGATCAACAAAACCTGTGATGACAGAGATGTTTACAAAATACTGTCGGTCATAGTTGTGAGCAATGCTGTAACATGCTCCAATGTCCAAAGCTTTGTCCGCTGATACAATTCACCGAAAATATCCAAAGTGTACACGCATGGACTCGTACACAAAAAAGATTCCGCCTGAGGCTCAATTTTTTTTTTCCACCTTCTTATGTGCACCCAGTGTTCCTCGCTCACTGATGATTGATCATGCAACTTACGTCTTCTGGGGATGTACAGAGGCATTGCAGGCAATGTCGGGATAGCTATACAAGCATGTTCACTCAGTTTGCGGAACTCGACATCTTTTCCACAATCCGAGCACCGAATAATTGGTAGGACTTGTGACAAACGAGGCTCTTTCGAACTCATGATGAATGGAATATGTAATGTCTAATCTGTAATCTGTAATGTGTATTGTGTAATGTTGTAATGTGAAATGTGAATTGTGAAATGTGTAGAGCAGAATGTGAGATTGTTATGATTGCTTGTAGAAAGGCGAGATAGACTAAGAACACTATGGATTAAGGAATAACTATGTAGATAGTATAATGGTGTCTTTTATCGAATAATGGAAGGGTGGTTGTGATATTAGGTAAGGGAGAGGAAGTAGAAGTGGAAGGAGGTAAAGACAAAGAAGACTGAGAGCAAGAGCAGAAAAAGATGAAAAGAGAAAGACAGAAGAGAGGAAAGAGAAGAAAAGAGGGAGAGGAACAGAACAAGCAGAAAGAAGGTATTCGCCTCTGTTCTCTTCTGATGACCAATCCTTGCCTGATCGGGCATGGGCCAATCGTCTCGTGTGCCCAACCGTTTTGTAAAAACTGTGAGTGCTGGGCAGATGGTTTTTTGTTCTCTCGGGACTATTTTCCAGCTGTTCTTTGAAAGACAAAGCGAAACGTGCACAAAGACGCCACACAATGTTCTGTGTGTACAGACAGCATACAACATGTCCAACTTGAATCATAGACTGGGCTCTATTCAAAACTGAATGTCAGATTGAAATACGAGACCCTGTTGACTTGCAGAAACAGAGTCCAACGTCGTACAAGGGCAGACACACGGAGCTTTTCCTGTGATCAAAATGCAAAATGATCAAAAAGAGAGACAAAACAAGGGGATTGTGCGTTTTGCTCAACAGCCGTGTGTAAAAAAAAGAGAACGAGTTACATGTGCACAACTAGTTTTTATAAACATTCCTGTATTATTGAAATGGAGCCGCCAAAACATATGCAAGCTCAGCTCAGGCACACCAACAGCACATTAGAGAATATGAAAGGAACAATCAGGATGAGACGTTATGGCCAATGAGAAAATTTATCGTACATGTACCATGTCAATCAATGAATCCAATCTGGACAGCAACTTTCGTTTCCCGCTCCCCATTCACTCTCCTTCATTCCCTCGTTTCTCCTGAACCAAGTACAACGCTCTTACATTCCTAATGCATGTGCCATGACCGGCATGGGCCATCGCTTTTTAAAATTGTTCTTTTCTACTCGTAAAATAGCGAACATTCAATCAAATATTTTTTCCCGCCATTTTTGAAAAAAAAAAAAAAAAAAAAAAAAACCTCCGCAGTTATTCTTAGTGCTCTATAAAGAACCCTCCTTTTGCAGAGGTGACTAAGAACACAAGACTCTGAATTCTATTTGCTACATTCTACCGTCCCATTACTTGTTGCCCTATTTATTTTTTATTTTTATTTCCGAAAGCTATTGCAGACAAAGAAACAGCGAATAGTCTGTATTCAATTTGGAATACATATGCCTTACTATTGCTTACTTTTTTTTTTTTTTTTGTCTTTTTCCCTACTTATTATTGGAAAGATGCAGTTTAAGATACTAGAGTTACAAGGCCTTGGATGAATCGCTCTTGACTTGGCTAATGCTTGCCATTTGCCTCATCGGAGGGCAGGGCAGTCTGTGGGGCACCAGGAGCTCGTGGTTGCTGAAGAGATTGTGCAGAATTCTCATGACTCGTAACTGTCACTGGTTGCTGGGTTGGGGTAGGGGTTCATGATTTAAAGATGGTGATGGTTGTCGAGGTTGTGGATACGCATGGATGCCGCTTGGAGATGGTTGATGCGGTTGAGGCTGGAGCGGATGCTGAGGGTAGTGTGGTGGATACGGCGATGGGGTTGGAAGGGATAGTGAGATGGAGGAGATGAATATGCTCCTGAAGCAGAGGGATGGTAGAGATGTTGCCCATGAGGGTAGCGATGAGGCTCCGGCTGAAACTGTGGGGGTACCTTGGATGGTTGATATGCGTAGGTGGACTAGTACCATAAGCTCGGAAAACTGGCGAAGGAGAACGACTAGGGTAAAAATCAGGACGTGGTGGCCCGGCTGGAGAAGGATATCCTGGAGCGTAACCTGAAGCTCCGGACATAAAGGGTGGTGGATATATAGTTGACGGAGGATACCGACCTGGTGCAATCATAGGATGTGTAGGAACAGTGTCAACCATGTGTGAACCCTGCAGGGATTGCTGGGACCATAGGCATGGGGACAGACCCGAGGACAACCGGCGGAGGTTTAATATTATTTATGGTCATGTACGCCACAAACTGATCTGGAAGCTCCGCCAACAATGCTTGCGCAAGTCCATACTCAAGGTGAGGAGGGAAGTCACGTGCGGCCACAAACTGGACGATATCACGGCTCTTTTTGCTGCGAACAGAAGAAGTTTCAACGTCTCCGTCCAGAGCGTCCATCTGACGATTGAAAAAAAAGAAATATCAATAAAGAACACTAAATATTTACATCTAATGGCCAGCACATTGTTTAGATATCATCAATCATCTCTAGCATAAACCATTACCTTTCCAAACTCTGCTTTTCCGACGCCAACAATGATGATCGATATTGCGTGTTTGCTTGCTTTCTGAATCGCGCTAATAGTGTCATTCCTAAAAAAGTTGAACAGACATCGGACAAAACATTTGTTAGCAACTGAGTGTCATGGAAATACTCAGCACTCTCCAATACCGTGCGTTATTGGGGACTTTTCCAAAGATTTACATATCAGTAATGGCTCCATCTGTGAGGATCAGAAGAACAGTATAATTGTAGGGCTCACTATTCTTGGCAATCGTTGTGGCCTCAGAAATCACAGGCGTAAAGTTCGTTGGGCCCCACAATTCAACGAACGAATGAGCATTCCAATATGCATTGAGGATACCTTCTACGCCATTAACTTCAGGCTAATAAAAAAATATAAAGTATGCAGGCAGTATGCTGGTGGTCAGATCGGTTCGAACATACTCTAATTTTTTTTTTAACTT